TAGAAAATCATTCGTATCTGATCGAAAACCAAGAAGTTAAGATAAATCTTTAGACAAATCTTAGATTTCATAAAGACCTTTTTCACCTTACACTCCTTTTAAAAGATCAGTGTCATCTTCTAGATATGTTAATTGTCCTACAAAACAATAATAATTGAAATAAAGATTGAGTAATTATGGATTTAATTGATAAATAGATATTTAATTCATTATTCATGTTATTCATGATCAGTACGATTTGTTATATTGTTTATATTTTAATGTCCATTTCTTCTTAATAGTTCTTATTCATATTCCTATTATTCTTTTATTAATTGAAGTTGTTTCTTTCTTTCTTCTTCAATTAAGACTTATTTAGAAGTATATGATGGAGGAGGTTGTCTAGACCAGACTTTCTAATTTAATATTAATATTAGATACTTCAAATTTATATTTCTAATAATCTTTAAGTCTAACTTATTTTCTATCGAGATATTGAGATTATTAAAGTTTATCCATCTAAACAGGGACTGGAATCTATTCAATTTCAGCTTCCTTTTAAATCCTCATGACTTTTAGGTTTTACTTAACTTTCTACAAGTAAGATAGTTATAGCTACTTTTAAGGTATCATCCCGAATTCTTATTTCATTTTAATAATTTTATTGCATTCTCAATAATCTTGCTTCTAAAGCAGTAAGAGATGCCACTTTATCTTAAAATTCTGATTCTTCCAAAATTGATGTTTGATCTTATATTTACTAATCAATAGGTTTCTTTTGGAACTTAACTTTTCTCACTTCTAATAAGCGAGTATGTTTATCTAATTCTTGATATAATTTTTATAATTTATTGTTTATTGCAGCAGATGGTTTTTCTTAAGTTATCTTAATTGTCATTTTCTCTAGAGCTTTTTCCATATATGGTCTACTGATATTTAATTCTTTTTTCAAATCAGCAACTAAAAATTCAACTGGTTTTTCTCCTTAAAGTACTTATTTTCTTGTATATGGTTTATCTTTTGATTAATTGACTTGATTGTAATATTGTAGAATTACTTTAAGGTAAATGAAAATCATCCAAATCTAATTGACCTTATGATTTAATTTCTTCTCTAAATCTCAATCCTTTATCACTAAGAACAACTATATCCTTTCTTATTGCCAATTCTTATGGTGTAAGTTTATACAATTAATTCATTCTTTATATATATATATATAAATATATGAATTATTTTGCTTGCCCTATTCATAATGGACATTTTTTATCACTTGTCTGTACAGAAAAATCTTGCAATGAAAATCCATTAATTTGTCGTAAGAATCTCTTTATAATATTATAGCTCTTTGTGAACATGCAGATCATTAGTCTCACAATACTTTACCAATAAAACTTATGCTATAATAAGTAGATGATGCAGTCAATAATAATTGTGATGTTACACAATAAAGCATTATGGATGTTTCCATTTTCTTAGATAAATCATATAATGAATGTGTTCGAACAGTAAAAACAAAGTTATAAAATGATAGGTGAATCGATTCAATGAATAAATGCAAAATATATCAAAGTAGTTGGCTAAGAAAGTTGAAACATATTATCTTGATCTGAAAAATCAATTACGAAATTTTTCACTTTCTAAGACACCAATTCATTTTTTACTTGATTCTTTAAACATTCCAGTAGAATTATTAGAATATAAAAAGAATATTGAGTAAAATTCATTTTATAATGACTAGATAAATTTTAGAGTAATATACATTTGGAAATGGAATAGCTGTAAGATAAAGTATAAATTCAGCAATAATGATTGCTTGTAAGTCATAGATTACATAACTTAATGACTCATTACATGATATATAAGTTGAATTTGATAATAAAGTTGAAACTTTAAGTAATATTTTTAAAGCACAACCTGTTACAGCAACAGATTAAGTATAATCAATAGCTTTTTAATTTTCATAAAAATTCAAAGGGGCTAATATTGGTTTAAGTGGTTAAAATATGATTGCAGAATAAAAGACTTCAGAATCAAATGGATAAAGATTTATTATTTGTGAACCTTGTTTACCAAAAAATGGTGTTTACAAATTTGGATTTAAAATAATTAAATATGCAGGATGGATTGGAGTAGGTGTTTGTCATAGAGACATAATTGCAAGTGCTAATTATAAATTTAATTATACAAATATAGGACATGGGTAAATTTTAATCATTAATAATATATAGATCATATTTAATATCAAATAATGCATATTCTTGGTCTCATTTATAAAAAGACTTGAATTCAGCACATAAATCATTTGATTTTGGAGTAGGTGATATTGTTGTAATTGAAGTTGACATCCCAAAGAAGAAAATTACATGGTGGAAAAAGAAAAGCTAATTGAAATTTGTAAGACAATAAACATTCTTATATCTAGTCTATGAACTTGGATACAAATTTAGACTTGTATCCATGTGCCAATTTATGTAGTCCAGGTGATACTGTTGAAATTGTCAATAAGGTTGAGTCTTGATTCATAATGTGATATATATAATAAAATCAGCAACTTGTAAATTTGGGATTCACAAATACTGTATTGTTATGTTTTGCATTTGAATATTCAGATATTTGAGTAGCTCTCATATTGAAATTCTTTCTCGTAACTTCCGGATTCAAAAGTGAGTTCACTTCATAATGACTAGCATTGTGTTCCTTATTATAGAATGTTGTAGTTAGGTTCCCTCTCCATTTATTCTAAAATCATTATTCATAAAATACATCAGAATATTTACTAGTATTCCAAATATCATTAGTATCAGTAACCTTGAATTACAAGTTCTATTTCTTCTATTGACTCTAGGACATTTATTAAGTCTATCCAAAACTATATTATTGTCTAATTTTATCTAATTCTTCTAGAAATTCTTCACGATAAGGTTCCATTTAACTCATTTTAATATTATTTATTTTAATATATTAAATTAATTATTTTTAATAAACAAATATAACATATTAAAAACAATTAAAAATATACATATAATTAATAGATTTTAGATATCTATATATATTTAATTACTTATATATTAATCATTAATTGTAATAAATGATTATTAATAATTTTTAATAATAGGATAATAATATATTGATTAACATTTAAAAATCATCTATTAATTTATTTATAATAGTTATTTTTTATTTATTTATTATAGAGACTCAAATTCTTTAATTAATAATTTAATTCATGTAAAAATAAGGTTCATGTTCACATTTTTCAAAATATAAGCTTGAATCGATTGGGAATTTGATAAAGACAAATTTTACATTTTGTGATAATGCTAAAAAGTTATAATGTGAAAGTGATGTTGAAAAATGGTTATGCATTGAATGTGGATTTTTTGGGTGTAGTAGAAATAGTAATAATTAATGTTCATTAAAACATAATTAATAAACTAATCATCCACTTTCTATATCTAATAATTCATTTGCTATTTGGTGTTATGTTTGTGATAATGATTTAGAGACAATTATTGAAGAAACTGATAATAAGGGATAGAAAGAGAAAATCATTAAATTTCTTGATAGTATGAAAAATCTATTGTTCAAAAAAATTAAATAAAACAAACCAACATAAACAATTTAATAATTCTAATAAGTCTAATAATAATAATAATAACCTGAAACCTTGAATTAAGATATTAAATAATAAACTACTTAACCATTAAATTACACTCCTAAATAAGTGTTTGGATTAAGAAATTTAGGAAACACTTGTTTTTTTAATTCTGTTATGTAATGTTTAAATGCAACAGAGAGTTTAAATTAATTTTATTTAGACCATAAAAAATTTAACTTTTCATCTTATAACAATAATGTAGATAATGAGGATGATGATGATTGGACTACTGTTGAAACAAATAAATAAATTAAATAATAAGTGAGACCTAAGAGTTCAAAATTATCAATTAATTAGATATATCAGAATTTTTTGTTAAATAGTAGGAAAAGTAAAGGATTAGTAGATCCAGCTGATTTATTCAAATCTATATAGGCAGTGTAATATTTTTATAATTATCAATAGTTAGGGTAGATTTAGATCAATGGCTTAATAAGATGCATCTGAATTACTTAGATGTTTATTAGATGCTTTATCAACAGGAGAAGAAAATACACATATAGGAAGAATCAATAAAACTAAAACAAATGGTAAACCTAAGAGAACTATAGTAGAAAATATATTTGGAAGTTATTTGTGCAATTATTGTAAGAATATTAGTTAATAATAATTAGTGGAATGTTTAGATTGTGGTTTTGTTAGTAGAACATTTGATTTCTGTCTTGATTATACTGTTTAAATAAGAAAACCAAAAGGATTAATTAATTAGAGATTTTAAGAGGAATACTCAGAAATTACAAGTGAAGAATTATAAGATGTTATTGTTCCATATTTACATAACTCTATATTAGTTCAAAAAAACAACAATCCACCTAAAATTTAACAATAAAAATAATGTAATCTAAGTGTTATTGATTGTTTGGATGCCTTTACTGAATATGAAGAATTGAACTAAAAGAATAATTATTTTAAATGTGAATAATGTGCAAAGTAAGGTAAAAAATCAGTAAGAGCTTTAAGAAAATTCTTCTTATATGATTTACCTTAAGTTGCTACAATTATTTTAAAGAGATTTTAATAAAAATCAGCAGGGAGATTTGAAAAAGTAACAGAATAAGTTGAAATACCAGAAACTATCTATTTAGAGGATTATACTATTTTAAAAGGAGAACCAAGTCAAACTATTGAAGAAATATAGGCTTAGAAATTTAAATATTAATTATATGGAGTAGTTGTTCATTAAGGTACTATGACAGGTGGACATTATGTATCTTATGTGAAGCACAAAGAAAATAATTAAGATCATTGGTTCTATTTTAGTGATAGCAATTTCAAAGAGGTCTCTCTTAAATAGGCTCTTAGTAATCAAGCTTATATTTTATTTTATGAAAGAGTCTGATAATAATTTATTGTTAAAATTATTATGTTATTTGAAAGCTCCATTAGATCAGGAGATCCTCGTCTTTCTAATCGAAATAAATCAGGTTAAGCAACTGAAGTATAAAATGCCTATGACCATTCATTCAATGGAAGAATAATTTATGCTAGAAACTTATATTCTAAATTATTCTTGCAATTAATTATTGTTTGTATTTTTAGACAATAGACTAGGCATATATGTATGGATAGTTCATGCTTTGCAAGATTTAGATCACTTTTTAGAACAAACTAAATGGATATTTTGGTTAAGTTTAGGTGTTTGTATAGGAATATCAACATTAGCCTTTATTTATAGGAATTAGATAAAAACAGCTCCAATAAATTGGTTAGTATTCTTATCATTTACTCTATCTTTGGCATCAGTTTGTGGTTGTTTAGTAGCATTTGGTAATTCATAAATTGGATTATTGATATTTGTGAATTTTGCAAGTATCTAAAATATATTTAAGATAGGTCTAATATTTTTTTTATTTTTATATTCATCAACTATAAGAAGAAAGATTACTTATTCTGGAGCAGTCCTTTTTGTATCTGCAGGGATATTGATTGTATTTGAGATGTTTACAATCTATACAAAAATCTCATTATTTTGGATTATGGTCATCTCTTTATCCTCCTTTTTATTTGCATTTTTGTTGCTTTATCATACATATTCAAATTTGAAGTAATAATCTCTATATATTATTTATTTAATTAGTTCTGAAGATTCTTATGATATCAGTACTGCAGATGATGTGAGTGGTAGTGTAACTATATATTGGGATATTATATTATTATTTTTGAAGATGGCAGAACTCATCAAAGATAATCTATTTAACAGACATAATTGATAAATATTTTCATAACAGAATAATATATATATATATATATATATATNAAGAAAATTCTTCTTATATGATTTACCTTAAGTTGCTACAATTATTTTAAAGAGATTTTAATAAAAATCAGCAGGGAGATTTGAAAAAGTAACAGAATAAGTTGAAATACCAGAAACTATCTATTTAGAGGATTATACTATTTTAAAAGGAGAACCAAGTCAAACTATTGAAGAAATATAGGCTTAGAAATTTAAATATTAATTATATGGAGTAGTTGTTCATTAAGGTACTATGACAGGTGGACATTATGTATCTTATGTGAAGCACAAAGAAAATAATTAAGATCATTGGTTCTATTTTAGTGATAGCAATTTCAAAGAGGTCTCTCTTAAATAGGCTCTTAGTAATCAAGCTTATATTTTATTTTATGAAAGAGTCTGATAATAATTTATTGTTAAAATTATTATGTTATTTGAAAGCTCCATTAGATCAGGAGATCCTCGTCTTTCTAATCGAAATAAATCAGGTTAAGCAACTGAAGTATAAAATGCCTATGACCATTCATTCAATGGAAGAATAATTTATGCTAGAAACTTATATTCTAAATTATTCTTGCAATTAATTATTGTTTGTATTTTTAGACAATAGACTAGGCATATATGTATGGATAGTTCATGCTTTGCAAGATTTAGATCACTTTTTAGAACAAACTAAATGGATATTTTGGTTAAGTTTAGGTGTTTGTATAGGAATATCAACATTAGCCTTTATTTATAGGAATTAGATAAAAACAGCTCCAATAAATTGGTTAGTATTCTTATCATTTACTCTATCTTTGGCATCAGTTTGTGGTTGTTTAGTAGCATTTGGTAATTCATAAATTGGATTATTGATATTTGTGAATTTTGCAAGTATCTAAAATATATTTAAGATAGGTCTAATATTTTTTTTATTTTTATATTCATCAACTATAAGAAGAAAGATTACTTATTCTGGAGCAGTCCTTTTTGTATCTGCAGGGATATTGATTGTATTTGAGATGTTTACAATCTATACAAAAATCTCATTATTTTGGATTATGGTCATCTCTTTATCCTCCTTTTTATTTGCATTTTTGTTGCTTTATCATACATATTCAAATTTGAAGTAATAATCTCTATATATTATTTATTTAATTAGTTCTGAAGATTCTTATGATATCAGTACTGCAGATGATGTGAGTGGTAGTGTAACTATATATTGGGATATTATATTATTATTTTTGAAGATGGCAGAACTCATCAAAGATAATCTATTTAACAGACATAATTGATAAATATTTTCATAACAGAATAATATATATATATATATATATATAATAAGTTTCAAATGGAACAAATCAAAATCTGCATTTCAAGTCTTTAAGGATTTTAGTATAATCTAAATAAAGTATTGGATAAATTCAAAAAAGAGAAGTAAAGTTATTCTCAATTTTTTAAAGTGATCTTGCTACTACTTTCATTTAATTTGCTGATGAAATATTTTAAAGCAATGAAAATTTATTAAAGAAATATCTTCTTTTAATGGTATTATTTATTGCATATAAGATTTATAGATTATTAGGGAAGCAGTTTATACAAATCCAATTGGTTCTGTAACAAATAAATTAGCTAGCAATAATTCAATTTTGAATTATTTATAAGAGGTAGTTATGTTTCAACCAGGTTCTGATGATGAATACAAAGGCATTTATAGATTTGAAAATGATAGTAATAGATATTATTATTATATTGTTAGCTCCATAAATTGCTATTAAATATTTTAATTTAATATTGGAACTTATCAAAGTTTTAGCTGAAAAATATCCTGTCACTTCAAGCAAAAAATCTACAAAATTTAAAATACTATATGATAGATTAATTCAATAAGGAATTATCTTTCCTAAATATTATAGAGAATTAACAGCTGATATTAATGAAATAGAGGATGCAGTTGAAGAAAGTTAACCTGTTAAAAGGAATCAATTATAATAAATGGAACCACATAGAGAAAATGGTATCTAATAATTGGAAGAATTATAAATTGAAATGAATGATTAAATTGATACAATTTGGGATATGCTTTATGATTAAAATTGTAATCCAGAAGGAGCAAAAGATAGTAACTAAAAATTATGATTTTAGTGTTATAATTCTATTGTGATACTTTTAAAGAGAGTGATGCAAAATTATAATAATTAGAATATGAATTATCAGACAAATTAAATTAATAATAAAAAGATTAGATTGAAATGTTGTGTAATTTTATTAAGATTTTTAATTTGAAGTTTAATCATTTTGAAAGAAACAAAACTAAAAATGGATTCTTTGAATTTCAACATGCTGTTTTAACAGAAGCTGCTAAAATTACAAAAAAACAATATACTCCATCTGATGCTTATCAAAAATCTAAAATATAACCTCTTTCTCCATTAAGATAAATTGGATAAGATGATACTCAAGATATTACCAGATTAAATGATCTAACAAGTACTTAAATTCAAATGAAAGAAAAGGTTGTGTCTTAAATTAATTAATAAGTATAATCAGAATAATAAAAATAATTTGATTAATCAAAATTATAAGATAATTCTAAATAAGTTGATAAATAACAAGTGATTTCATAGTCATAATATAATTAATATGATCAGTATGATCAGTATGATCAATTCAATTAATAAAATTAATTTTAATAATAACAATATAACTAATAGATATTATTAAATTAATAATAAGAATAATATTAATATTAATAGCAATAGAAACAACCCTAATAAACAACATTTACACCAGATAATACAAATAATCCACTTTTATTAGAAACTGACTACTAACAATTTGAATAATCAATTCCAAAATAACATTAAAATTATTTTTCATGGGATTAATATTAATAACCATATAAATAGGAAGATAATTCTAAGACATTAGAATATTAGTAAGATAAATAGGATTAGAAACTAAAGGGAATGAAATTAAGTTTTGGAAATGTAGTTGATAAAGAATAGGATTATAATAATTAGGGGTCGAGCTAAGTTTAATTTAAAGAGATCAAAAATACAGAATAATATACATAATAATAAATTTAACAAAATGATCATTCAGGCTATCTATTGAATACTCAATTTTTAGATATCTAACAAAAATTAATTAGATATGGATATACATAATAAATGATTGATGTTTGGAAGAAGACATGTTTATTGGGGTAAGGCAATTTATTTGAGAATGAATTTATTAGAGTTTATTGCACATTTGGATTATAGTATTAAGTGTTAAATAGTAAGAATTATCTAAAAATATCTTTGTAAATTTTTAAGAAGTCTGGCCTAAATTTGCCCATAAATATAAAATTTTAAGGGGATAGATGTAATTATGAATTTATTAAAATCAGCAACAAAATTTTGGATCAAATAAGAAAATAGAAACATTTTAGAACAAGAATAATAATACATACTGATAGTTGATGAATGCAAAGACATTATTATTAGTAGAATACAGATTGAAAATTAATTCTTTAGTGTGTTATTACCAACAAATTAATATAATTTTATAGAGTTTTTAGATATAAGGCCAGAGATATTTTAAATAAAAATAAAGGATATTCTATTTTATAAAAGTCAACCTTTTAGATTGTAAATTAGTTAGGAATTATTTAAAAAAATTGGATTTATTGAAATGAATAATTATTATGGTAATTGATTAATTTAAATTAAATTAGGAGCTGTTTATGAAAATAATAACTATATAAAAGTTGTAATGATAGAGAAAAATATATGGATTATAGAGGCAACAGATTAATATCTCATTCCATAATTATTATTTTTGTTTTCTTGAGTTTAATTTCAATATTTTATTAATATATTTATGGAATAATAATTAATAAAAAAAGAAATGTTTTTTTTACTCTTATATGGTGTCATGTATTGAAATTATTTATTAAGAGCATTTTAGCCATGAGTTTATTAATGATAGGTTTGTATGAGTACAATGAGATGTTTTATCTATTTGAGTGGGTGTGGTTGTTATTTTTTGGGAAGATTTTATCAATGGTATTGTTAATAAATGAGAGATCAATTAATGAAGAGGAGAGAGAATAATTACTTGAAAAAGAGATTAGTGAACACAAATAAACATATATACCATTTAAACTATATGCAATAGATGCATCAATACAAACAGCTGACATTTTTTTAATATGTTTTGAATTATTCTATATGAACTTCGGATTATTCATAATAGTAAATGAAAATGATTAAAATAGTGTTAAGGGATTGTGTTCGTATTTTACACTATATACACAAATAAGCATGATTAGTTAAAAATAATTTATGCAGGTGTAGTTTTATTGACAGGTATCTTAACTCTTGCATTGCATATTGATGGGAATCATGAATGTTATATAGGGTTGATAGCAACACTGCTTCAAATAGGAACCAACATATATACAATAAAATTAAAGGAACAATTTATGTGTTAGTAAAAAGAATTCATAATAAAATTACAAGATATATATTTCAACATCCCAAATATATTTCATATACTGGTATAATCTAATTTTTGATATGGTCTATTGTTCTAGTGATTGTAAATTTTATTCCTTGTCCTGATATGGTATAATAATCTAATTATAATAAAAAGAATTAGAAATGTTAAAGGGGTAATACTTTAGGCAATTTTACAGAGTACTTTGAGGAAACCTTTTCATAATAATATAATACTAATAATAATCACAAAAATATTGTAAAAATATTATTATATTGAAAAAGGCCTATCCAGTAGTAGTATTTGTGATTTTGATATTAGTGAGTTCAGCCATATGTTATATAGATAATAAAATAACTATAAAAGAGTAATCAGATAAAAAATAGATTATTTAATAATTTGTATTTTTTCCTATATGGATTTGGATAAACAAAAGTCCAACAAATGTTACTTTGTATGTATTTTGTATATTGTTCTTCATTTTGTAATGGTTATTAGGATTATATATAGTAAATGATTGATAATTAAATAGATATTTTAAGACAAGAAAGAATAGAAATATGAATAGGAAGATGAAGATTAAGATTCAGAGTTTTCATGATTAAGATTGTAAATTTTTTGTAATGAATCATACCACTCAATAATCATAATATCCCATATAAAATGGTATTCTCAACAACAACATTGAAGGATTGTAACCATAAATCTTGGTTCTCTTTACTATTTTCTCAAGTCTAGGTCCTCCAGTTCTGATTTGATTAAAGCAATCCTAACAAAAATCTACTAAAGCCTAAAAATAATAAATTAAATAAACATACTAAATCAGTAAGTTTTCCTGGTAAACAATTTAATGCAATATATCTGAAACCTTTAACATCTCCATCACATCCATTACAATCTAAAGCATGATTTTATGTATATTGTTCTCCTCTTTTAACTTTTTAGTTATTTCCCAATCTATATACATCAATATCATTTAAAACAGATTTATCAACAAGAGGTGCATTAAAGAATATCAAATTATCTTAAACTCTAAATTTTTTATATCCAGCAGCTTTTGTATCAACAACTTCTGCACATTTAACACAATAGAATTCATCAGAGAATGGACTATAATATTATTAAGTTTAATCATTAAGTTCATTTTAACATAATTTACATGCTTTTCCAGGGAATAATAAATTCAATGTTCTTTAAACAGTTTAATTAATTTAGAAATTTGATAATGGAACAACTTTATTCAATAAAGCAAGAAATGTATCTAAATATTTTTATTTGCCTTCTCTAATTGTATATTAAATGATAGGAGCAAATCTAACTACTTTTTCTCCTTAATCAATTTCTTTGAAAATAAAACTAAGTTAGAATTATCTCTTGTTATTAAGTTATGATAATTTCTTTCTAGCATCAGAATATAAAAATTGAGTAATCTCACTATATTCATCATCATTTAATGGACCCTTTTAATTTAGACTTTCAATTGATTCTTCTATATAAGATGTTAAAATAGATTCTAAATCTTCAATTTAAGATTGAATTCTGATTGATCCAACTTTGTCAATTACAATGAAATGAGGGAATGATTTCACATTGTATTAAACTTAATCAGCTTGATTTTCTTCTTTTGGAAAATAGAATTCAATAACTTCTTCAATACCTTGATTTTTCAAGAAAAAGAGTTCATAAGTTTCTTATTTATGTTTACTTAAAGCAACAAATCTAATTTTATCTTTATATTTTTCTTCATTTACTAATAATACTTTAAGAATTTATGTAAATTATCTATTGCATTATTAATTATCATCCCAATACATCACAATTAAAACTTAATCATCTTTATGTTCAATATCAATTACTTAATCTTTACCAAAAGGATGATAATTTTATATTGTTTAAAATGGTTAACCTAAACTTAATTCTAAACCAGATTTTAAACAATCTGTTAATTCATTGACACGATCAAAAATCAATCTTTTATCTTCCTCTTATTCTTCATCATTATCAGAATCATCATCACTATCATCTATTTCTTATTAATATTTCTTAAATATTGGTAAAACTTAAGAATATATAGTTTAATATTCTTTAAATGTTAAATTCTGAATTGATTTCTTTGATATAACTTAAACATCAGGTTAAAACTCTTCTTTTTCATGAACATAATTGAAATATTCAGATCTTATTGTATATTCTTAAATAACTTTATAATTTTTCTTAAGAACATCTTAAAATCCACTAGTAATCATATCCAACATTCCTTTTGGATCCTTAACAATAGATCTCTTCACTTAAACATTATCTTTACCCAAAACAGCTGTTACATTATTTAAGAATAATTTGATAGTTTATGTTGATTATACTGAAACTTCATAAGATACTTTCAAATGACTTCTCTCTACAATTTCTTTTGAACCATCTTAAGCAATCTTATAGCATTTAGTTAAAGATAGTCTAATGAAGTCACTTTTAGCAAAACTTTTATTTTAAGATAATAGATCTGAAATTTATTAAGTCAATGCTTTTTTGATAAATCTAAAAGTTTATTAATCAAGAAGCTCTCTGTATTTTCCTTCATCTTCACTTTCTGATCCTGCTTCCCAATATGTCTTAATAATATTCTCTACTTCTCTTGCCTTACGAGTTACTTCAATTACTTGATTCTCTTTTCCTACTACTGCTATCTTTGGTAAGTAATTCAATTCCATTGCTCTTTAAAAAGCATTCGAGGAATCCCAACCTAATGAATAGCGATAATGCTAAAATTAAGTCAATTAATTTGTCTTTAAATGATTTTTAAAGTTATTGGAATCATCATCCAAAGATACAGCTATAGGGTTTATTTGTAATTTAAGATTTTAATTCTAACTTAACCAAGTATTGAGTTCGTTTAATGTTCTTGTTGACTTCTCATTTTCAGATGACTATTCATTAATATTATCATTATTACCCAAAAAACAATTAAATCTGTTGAACCTTATTTTGTTTTGAAGTTTCCTTTCTTTGTCTCAAATGTGTTTAAATCCAAACTTTCAACTCCATTTATAGTACCAAATTAAAATCCTGCCTTAATCTTTGGTTTAATGCTCTCCTTAAAGAATTCAAATTGTTTAATCACATCCATATTGTTACCATATGTGGCTTAATCCAAAGCATCACAGAACTCATCATACTTGGCTGTCTACTCCAATTTAAATCTATTGGATGACTTCAGCAGTATTTTTTACACTAAACTATAATATGCGGTTATTGGCAAAGCAATACCCCTTTCTTTTTAATACTTCCCATTTCTTTTATCTCTCTATCTTAAAACTTTCAGGTATCAAATGGCGAACTTTGTTTAGGATTTAAAGATCAACAGGCTATTCTTACGACATGTGTTTTAATTATTTTATTTTATGTATTCTAGATATATAAAATATCCATTAGACACTCTCTTTCCTTTCCATTAAATTCAATCTAAATTACACATTAAATACTTATTATGATCAATTAACTAATTTATTAGTGCTATTTCATCAACACTCCCGTATCATATAAAGATTTCAAATAAAAAGATTCCTAAAATGAATTCAATCTTAAATTTTACTATAAAATTACTTCTATACATATTGAATCTACATTAAAATCATAATATGATATTTTCATAAGATAACCCATATAATAGGGTTTATTCTTTTATGGTATCAATTTCTATTTATATAATATTTATATATAATAAAGAAATTCATGAATCACCATAATCATATATGAAAATTATTAATTAGAAAAAATCTTCCTTATTATACATCTCTATCATCTAAATATCAATTATTTGTTATTATATTATACTATATTATATTAATACCAAATTTTACATTATCTAAAAATTTTGATGATATGTTTAATAATATATTTTTATATCATAAATAATCAAATATCTTATTCAATATTAAGAAATTAACGTATATTGTTCTTTGTTAAAATTAAGAATGAATATTTAGAAACTATTATCAAAATGCCTTTAAAATAATAAAATAATTTAATAAGATTTTTATATTTTTTTTAATATTTTATGGGTATTTGCCATTGTAGCAAAAGTAATTAAGGAGAATAAAAATAAGTGAAGGTGAAGATTGGAGGAGGGGAAGATGGAACTTGTACATGGAAAGTATACAGAGGAGTTACAGAGTATAATTTAGTAACAACCTCAGGATGGGAAATGAAGTTTGAACTAGCTGCAAATGGAACAATAAGTGGTGGAAATAAGAATGATAATGAAGAAGGTGCATAGAAAAAACTATATGCTGGAACTCTAAAAAATGGGATATTAGATTGTATTGCTACTTTTGAAGATGGGGCTTAAATAAAGTATGATGGTCAAATGGATGGATCGATAATGAAAGTTACTTGTAAAGTGATAAAAGGAAGTAATAAATTTCATTTGGGAGATATTGCAGATTGTGTTGGACCTGTAAAATATGATTGAATTAATGAATATACTAAATACATACCTAAAATATGTTTATGATATCTAATCATTGATTTTCTTAATTAAACTTATTTTAAATTATTTTCTATATTTGTTTACTATTAAACAGTTAAAATTACTTTAAAAATAAATATATCAATATCAATTTTTAAACACTTCTACAAATTGCTTTGTTTGATCATGTAATTCTTCTATTTAATGTTTGACTGTTTCATCAGTTACATCTTCTAATATATACTTGATTATTATATTATTTTATTACATCTCTATCTCCATCATCTGTAAAGTCTGTATATTTGATTTATCCATCATCTTCAAGAGCATATGTTATTTTTAAATGATAACCCATTCTCTTTTTTCCTCTACTTAAATATAAATGAGCTTCTCCTTCAACTGATTCTACGGCTGAAATCTTAGTTTATCCAATTTTCATCTAAAATATTATTAAATAGCCTATATACTCCAATAATATTCTCTAATGATTTTTTAATATCACTCATGGGTACTTTCTTCTCTTCCCATGTTCCTGAAACATTCCATTGTGATCCTATTGTTTAAGGTTATTAAACTTAGGATGGATCCTCTACCTTTTTAGGTTAACAATCAATTTTAGGATGATTAGGATCATGTTTAACCCAATATGTATAAGAATGTTCCTTCTTTGGATTGTCCATTTAAATTTCCAGAATATTTATAAATTAATTATTAATAAAGTAAACATTCATCATTAACAATCATTTCTTAATTGTTATACATAATTATACCTAAAAATTAGATTACTAAATACCTTCTTTAAATTTTATCCTTATCCTTAATTTATTCTAAATTATAACTAAATTTGTCACCCTTCTCATTGACGAAAAGAATATTTTCATTAGTTGAGATGACAATAATAGTTTTATCAATAAAATCAGCTTAAATCACACCATTAGAGAGTTTAAGAAGTAGAGCATTTCTTGTTTTAAGGAATTTATCAACGAAAATTGTTGAGATTTATGAATTGCAAATTATATTATTTTCATCAATACCTAAATATTATGTAAATTTTTAGAGCAAAGTAACTTTTTTATTTAATTCTTGTGGATAATTTTCAAATTCATAATTTGAATTTTGATTAAATCTATCAAAATAATTGAATTCTTATTTATTGCATTATATAATTTTTGTGGAATCATTAAATAGAACTCCTGAATGATTATTCGATAGAACATAACCAATACCATATTTACTTTGATAATCACAACACTTTATAACATATACTACTTCATTCTCCTTACTCTAAGTTATAATAAAACACTTACTAATTCAATTTAATTATTATTCTACAAATTCAATCCTTATTTTTTATTTGTCTATTGATTTTCACTTAAATAATTAATACCTTCTGTTAAAGCTATAATTTTAAATTAAATTAATACTCTTAATTCGTTCAGCTTAAGACATTTTTATTTAAGCAGAAAATAGATTATTCATCTTAGGTAGTTAGGATGTAGTTTTTACTGATATTAATTCAGGTTATAATTGCTTAGAATTAAGCATAGAAGCTTAAGAATATTGAGATAACCATGCTGCAGTTGGTGGACTAAGTAATTGAGAAATATGAGTAGTTTTAGGTATTGGATTTGATGTCATAAAAGGATGACTTAGAATTTCATCCAAAGTTAATCTTTTTGAAGGATCAAGTACAAGTATTCTAGAAATTAAATTCTTAGCATTTTCAGATATCTGAATATGATCTGGAAAATTGAATTAACATTAAGATATTTTATTATAAGTAGTCTTAACATCTGATGTCTCAAAAGGTGGTTTACCTATTAACAATGTATAGATAATAACACCAACTGACCATATATCTGCTTAATATGAATGTCCCATTCTATCATCTAATATTTCAGGTGCTATATAATTTGGTGTCCCACATATAGTATTTCGTCTTTATCCATCATAATCTAATTTTGTAGCCAAACCAAAATCTCCTAATTTCAATTCCATCTTATCATTTATAAATAGATTTCCTAATTTCAAATCTCTATGAAGAACTCTATGAGAATGAATATATTTTAATGCTCCAATCAATTATTTTAAGTAACATTGCACTTCTATTTATGTTATTCTTCTCCTTCTCTTTAATAACTCATTCAGTGTCTAAAATAATTTGAATAAATTTATTCACTTGATTTTAACATAGTTCTAAAAGAATATATACATTATCATTATCCTCAAATACATCTTCAAATTAAACTATATTTTAATGATGAAGTGATTTATGAAGCTTTATTTCAGTAATTAACTACTATTAATCTAAATTTGTACCTTTGCTTTTGTTCTTCCTTTCTTTAAAGTACTTTTAGCAATAATCTTTGCAGCCAATACTTTCTTGCTTTCTATACATGTTACTTCATAGCATTTCGCAAAGCCACCCTTCCCTAACACCTTTCCTTTTTAGTATCTACGATATGCAATCTCTCCATCAGGTTTCTTGTATCTTTCTTCTATTATGGTATTTTCAATTTGCTGTTATTCTTCCATTTAAATTAATTATTAAAAAAAACCAAAAAATGTTAATCAAATTCAATTTCAAATAAGTAATCTAATCTATTTAGATTCTTCTTTCTTATGTCTTTTTTTTATTCAAAAAACCAATTAGAATTCATAATTATCATTAATGTTTCATTTAATAATAATTTCATCAAATTCTATATTAAATCTATATATTAATCTTGTTTAATAATATATTTCCTTATAATAATTATATTAAATTATAAGTTCTCTTATTTTCTCATTAATAATGTAAAAAATTGATAGTTTAGAACCTACTTAAGCTATAGCCACTCATTTTCTTGATATTTCAAATATTGAATAATTGATTTAGTATTTAGAAAAATTGCACTAATAACCTAAAGTAGAAAAACATCATACAGCCTTATTATTAAATTGCTACATTAAATTAAAACAATTTGACAATTTTATTGAGAAAATAGAAAAGTATGGGTTTGAAAGTGAACTATTTGATATTGAAACAGCAATAAGAGAATGTCGATCATTCAATTACCTCGATATTGCTTTAAAAATGGCAACTAAGAAAAATATATATACTGCCTGTCTTTAGATATATATATTTGATAAAGGAGAATGTGGAGCTGCCCTAGAATATATAAGGGATGTAATAACATTAGAGGAGAAAGTAAATGAGATATTTTCATATAGTGTAGGCTAATTATTTAAAAGAATTCGGTCTTGAATTAATGAGGAGTGAACCTTAATTTACTTTAGAAGTAATTTAGAATTTAATTTTGTTAATAAATATTGTATAAAACTTAAAAAAACAATTTGAATCAAGAAAAGGTATTGATTCATTAGATCGTTTAACTTAAGAATAATAGAAAGTTTGGAAATACTTTAATTTAGATAATGATCAATTATAAAATATTTATTCAATAACATTTTGTAAACCTGATGAATTTTTACATATTTTTGGAGGATATAATAATTATTTAGAAAGATATTTAAGATTTCTTATAGAAGAATGCAAAAATTTACCTAATGAAATGGCTATATATCATAGATATTTTAGTTATCATTTAGAGAGATTCGAAAGAAAAGAAGAAGTAAAAGAAAGTGAAAAAAGAATTATGAGTTTATTATTGGATAATAAGAATGAGTCAAAATATGATAAAAATCATTTATTGGTTTAATTCAAAATTTATAATTTTACAGAAGGAATCATATGTTTATTGAAGAAATTATAAATGAGAGAAGAATTATTAAATTTTTATATAACAAAGAAAGATAATGAAGAAATATTAAATTTATGTACAGAGTATGGAGAATAAGAATAAAACTTATGGGTATTAGCATTGAAATATTTTGCAAAACCTGAAAATAAGGCTACACATTATATTCCTAATATACTGAAAGAATTAAATAAATTAGAATCAATATCTTCATTTTTGATTTTAGATATTATGAAAGAAAATAGTAATGTAAAATTTGGTTAGATGAGAGATTTCTTAAAGTAATAATTATAAAGAGATTATACAGAAATTAAAGATAATTTGAATGTTATAAAAGAAAATATGTAATAAACAACTGAAACAAGAACAGAATTTTAATAGTTAAAAACTCAAGCATAAATATTTTCATTTGGAAAATGTACAGCATGTGATAATGCATTGGTTAATCCATCATTTCATTTTATATGTGGACATCAATATCATTAAAATTGCATTTAAATGTAAATATGACTATATAGTATAAGTGAAGACAAAAAAAGAATATGTATAAGATGTAATTTAGAGATTTAAATGATTCAAAATAAATAAAAAGAAGTAGATGAGGCTAATCAATAAATGGTATAACTTAGGTAGAAAATGCTAGAAACTAGTTCTAAATATGATATTATTTCTAAATATAAATGAATAACATATATAAATGTTAATAATATAAGTTGATATTTTTTAATTTTTAACTAAATAGATATTTTATAATTAATTTTAGTAAATTTATTATAATTTTAGTTATGTAACACAAATTTTAATTGTAGAAACTAATAAATTAAAAATAACTATCTAAAATATTTATTTAATTTGTCAAAGAATCGGTATAAATAGCTGAAAAAATAGAATATATATTTTACAAAGTAATATTGTAAAGATAACAATTGATAGAATAGATTGTGAAGTAAGAAAGAGAAGGCAGATAAGTAACTTTATTCTAATTACCATCTTAATTTCTTTATCATAAAATATTTAGTATAACAAATATATTAATAATTTATAGAGATATCAAAGTACAATAAATAATGATTAATTTTATAAAACTGTAAACAATTATTATTTATGAATTGTTTTGAACACAATTCACCCTACACACTTCTTTGTTGGGTCAAAGGATGCAATAAGAAATTTCTATGTCACTAATGTATGTAAAAACATGATCCTCAACATTTCTCAATGATTCAATCTCTAAATGACTTTGACTCTTAAATTAGCTAAATACCCAAATCCATTTAATAAAATCTAATTCTCCTTAGCTCTCAATTAAATTCTGCTTAAACATAGATCACATTAAACAAAGATTCACTAAAAAAATAGATCATCAAACTCTCAGATTTACTTAAAGCTAGACTTGATGTTGAAATCAATAATTTCTGTTCATCAGCAATAGATTATACTACTATTTATTATAAATAGTTTGAAAATGATATTGCTTCTATTTTCAATACAATATCTGAACATTCCCAAATATTTACTCCTTAGACGGGTAGACCAATTAATGAGTTTTAATTCACATAATTGATCCAATAATAAGATAAAATGTTTGATATTATTCTACCAAAATTAAGCTAATAAGTTTAAATGTTTGTTTAACAAATATCAAATAATTAACTAATCATGAAAACTGAAAACTTTCATTCAATATTAAACAATAATATTTCTAAAACTTTTTAATTGAACAATTTACTTTATACTAATGAAACTCTTCAAACTTAAACATCAAAGTCACTTATTTAAAAAAATAGAATTATGTCACCTTTAATACCAAAAATTGATCTAAAAAAAAATGCATCACAGTTATTTTCTTAAAAATAACAATCAGATAGAACAACTGATTAATAAGCATTTTATAATGATAATATAGTTGAATTAAGTGGATCTAGATTTATTTAATAAAAATCTATCAATAC